CCCCAAAACCCCAAAACCCCAAAACCCCGTTGAGAATATGTCATGAAAAATTATGATTTTTATCAAATTTGTAATTAGATTATTGCAATGGAAAATTAGAACAAAAGCAAGCGCTTTATTTAGGAGTAAAATGCTAAGATGAACTATAGTTCAATGGACAAAACTGAAATGAAATATATGAGCGACTAGGGTGTGGACATTAGATTCCCTCTAGATAGGAATTAAAGATACTTCATGTTCAAAGAGATGATGATGGCTTACTCTTTTGCTTGGCTTGAGAAGCCAGACCATAAAAGGCTGAGTTATTACTAATAACAAGCAGGTGCTATGATACTTGCATGGAGTGGAGCAGCTTACTATTACTCTATTTAGCTAGCTTAAAATCCTTAAAAATTTTATTAAGAGTTTTTGCTCACAAGAAAATCTGGATTATTTTCATTCGTCCCACTTGGAGTAGCTGCTTACTATCACTTCAAGCAATAAAAGCTCTACAATGAACTCTATGAAAAATATTGTGGATAGTTAAGTGATAAAGAGCTGCTGCAGTTAGACGCTAAGTTCAATCCAAAGAAGAAGATGTTCTATGATATAATTATATAAAGGAATGAAAAAAGGCTAGAGATGGAGGATGAAAAGGAATAAAATCGATTATCATCGCTTGGAGGACATAGCAGAGTTGATACAGACTGATGAAAGAAAGTACTGGTTTAAACCTGAGATAATTAAAGACGATATGTTAATTAGTTTCACTTAATTTTAATATATTATTAACAAGTAACAAACCAATTATTATGAATCCCAATGATAAAATGTATCAGCAAGACTCTTCTAATTTGCATTCAGCTGAGATTTCCTCCAAACTCCTGGGCATATCCCAAGTAGAAAAATTAAATAAAAGACTTAGAGCAAGAAATAATCATCTGCAGAACAGTATTGCTGTGCCCGCAGTTTTAGCTCCTTTAACTTAGCGAAGTTTTTCACCCCCATCACAAAAATAGTTAATTGTCCCTAATAGTATATCAAACGTTAACACATCATAAGTAAGGCAGTCCTTATAAGGCAAGATAATTACTAGGTAGAAATTACCAACTTAAAATCTATTCTAAGAGTAGCAGAGCAGCAATGAAACAATGAATCCCTTGCAGAATCAGCAAGATCTTTTTTAGAAAATACCTAAATAGATAATAGTAAAAAAGTCTAGACATATCCGTGAGGCTTCTCATGACATTACCTCAACAATGAACAACAATATAACCCCTCATTAAATGATTCAACTTCCTCCAATGATTAAAACTCCTAAGGATTTATCTGAAAGAGGTCATAATAACTTTCAAAATATGTAGCCGATCACCCCAATGATAAATTCATCTTTAAATAGAGATTAAAATAGTTATCATTAGAATAATAACATCAACAGCAATAATATCCAAAATGTATAAACTAATCCCAACTTGAATCAGAATTCTGGGAACAACAATTACAATTAGATTTAAATCAACAATGTCTAGAAATAGCAATAGCAAATGATAGTGAGTAACAGCCAGTCAGATCAGAATTAAAGTCAGGGTCAGATATTCAACCGGTTCACAAATGTATGCTTTTTTATTTATTCTTTTTTACATAATAATATAGAGAACAAGACAGAGCCAAATTCCTACAGGTTAGCAAAATTAATCTATAGCTACAGTCAAATCTATAATTAGTCAAAGGTCCCAGAATAAAAAGTATCATCATGAGAAGTCCCAATCACAATAATTTACACCTCTAAGTGGTGCACAATCTTCAAACATAGCAAATTAATCTTATAGCGTGAATGCGTCTAATAATGGCTCAACTCTTTAATCTACAGGTAGAAGCTCTCGAGCCTTTTCTCCTCGATAACAAAGACTATCAAGTATTAATTAGAATAATAGTATAACGCCTTCTTAAATGGGGAACAAGTCTATCATCAACGGAATCACTAAGCGAGAAAAAAGTGGTTCTTCAAGGGACAGTGTAAGTATGAATAATACTGGTGGAATGCAACTTAACAGTCCAACAAACTAATCTTTTCATGACCCTAAAGACACAAATAGAATTAATCATAATAATTATGACAAATAAAATGAGTAAAGATAGCAATCTATTAGTAAAAGATAAGAGAAAATTAACAAAAGCCCTTAGAAAGATAATCATAGTATGATGAATTCAGGGATGAATCAAGATTTAGTAAATGATCAAAATGTGCAGTTTGTCGATGTCCAAACTTTGCTATTTGGAGAAAATCCAGTTTACATAAATCCTAAGCAATTTTTATTGAAGAATCATGAGATAACTAAAGCATCAACCAAGTCATGTGGAATTATTAAGGCTTATGCAGCTAATACAAATTAAGGTATAATCAGAGATTATAATGAAGATAGAGTCAGCATTATACTAAACATTGTGAAGCCAAAAAATAAAATTCTCCCATAAAATGCAGAGTGGCCTTAAATTTGCTTCTTTGGAGTCTTTGATGGACACGGAGGAGCAGCTTGTGCAGATTTTTTAAGAGATAATCTTCACAATTTTGTCATATAGAATTAGAACTTTCCCTCCAACCCAAAAGAGGCAATCGTCTAAGGATTTAGAGAGTGTGAATACCACTTCCTATCAATGGTTGAAACTGCCTATAACAGATTGCTCGCTTCTCAAGGTACAAGTCAAGGTTCTCTTGGAGACAATGGATCTCAAGGATTAGAGAGGTCAGGATCATGTGCTATTGTTATAATGGTTGTTGATGACACAGTATATGTTGCAAACGTTGGTGATAGTAGATGTATGATGTCAGTAGATTGTGGAAGCTAAGTAGCTGTATTATCTAGAGATCATAAGCCAGACGATGAATTAGAAAAGCAGAGAATTTAGTTAGCAGGAGGGAAAATTTATCGAACATAAACATTCGCAAGGCCTGCTTAATAAGGAGAAAAAGATGTATATGTCTAAGGTCCATTAAGAGTTTTTCCAGGAAGATTATCAGTGGCAAGAACATTCGGGGATATCGAGGCTAAGTTACCAAGATTTGGAGGAAACCCACATGTGATAGTCTGTGAGCCAGAGATCAGATCATTCAAGATTAAGGAGAGCCACTTTGATTTTATGGTTGTGGGTTGTGATGGTATCTTTGATAGACTAAGTAACAGAGAAGTTATTGATACTGTTTGGGAAAGCGCCGGGGATATTATTAAGGGCAATCAATTTTAAAAAGGAACTAATGGTACATCTATCTTATAAGGTATTACTCCTCAACCTTTATTAACTTAAAAGCATCAAAGCCTGTTTAACTCTATCGACAAGAAAAAGGGAACTCTAATTGATTCATCAAGATAGTCTAAATAAATGAGTACAGCTAATGGTTAGTTTCCTCAGTATCATCATAATCAATAGCATGCAATTACAGCACATTAAGTTGTTGCTGATGGTGTAGAGATGGTTTTGAAAAAGGCAGCAGCTTAACGATCATTAGATAACATCACAGTTTTGATCTTAGGCTTTCAAAATCTTGATAAGGCGATCCATAAGTTGAGTGAAGGTTATAATCTTTAGTAAATCAGAGACTAGTAATTAATGGAAAATCAGGGGCTCAATGGAATGCTTAATAATGTAGATGATTTTGAAATAATTCCTGAAGATTTTTAGTTCAGTGTACATACTAACTATAATAATAATATTCCAAAGATTGATAAGCCAATGAGCTAGAATAGTTTAATTAAGTCTCATGATAGCAAAAGCCCTCTTGGCAACGGAGCTAATAATTTAATCTCTAATGGTATTAACTTATCTGGGCAGAAGGAGATAAAAAGTGGGGGCACTATGAAAGAAAGAAGTGGTAAAGTAGTTATTCAAAAGAATAAGATAGACAATAAGAAAAGCGGTGACTTCAGCACTACAACAGGTGAGGTTGGTGGAACTGGAGTTTTTATTAACAATTTTTGAGAGATATAATTTATTGAGAGAAACGAATTGTAAAATTTATAATAAGTGATAAGTTTACTATTAAAAGTTATTTGGACTTACTATTAAAAGGCTAAAAGTAATTTTAAATTAAAATATATCATTAAAATTTTGGCAGCATGGGGTTTTGGGGTTTTGGGGTTTTGGGG